CGACGCGGTGGCCCTGCGGGTGCGCTCGGGAATCCTGGAGCAGACGGGCGCCACGGCAGCGGTGCTGCAGAGCGACACCATGGACCATTACCGCACCTTCCACATGCTCGAGCGGCTGCTGCACGCACCACCCAAGCTACTGCACCAGCTCATCTTCCAGATTCCGCCCTCCCGGCAGGCACTACTCATCGAGAGGTGCTCACCCTGTGGGATGGTGGAGACATCAACCAGTCTGACTGTATACCCATTTTCCCAGCTGAAACAGGCCCAGGGAGGGATGGGACTTACCCAGCCATCAGAAAGTTGAGAGCAGAAGGGGTCAGACCCAGGCCCTGCCAGGCCCCGCCAGGCCCCCTTTCCTCTTTTTTATGGGGGGGGTCAATGGTGTTGTCTGTCTCCACAAGGTACTATGCCTTTGATGAGGCCTTTGTTCGGGAGGTGCTGGGCAAGAAGCTGTCCAAAGGCACCAAGAAAGACCTGGATGACATCAGCACCAAAACAGGCATCACCCTCAAGAGCTGCCGGAGACAGGTGGGCACTGCACCCACACAGACACAGCATCCCATTTGCACTTCACTCCCTCCCTTTGACCACTGCCCCAGCTCCAGCCTCTGACTGTGGCAGCAGCTTCATACCTAGTCTTCTCCTCCCTTCCCCTTTCCCCCCCTTTTTTTTTTTTCCTTTTTTTTTTTTTTTTTTTTTTTTTGAGACGGAGTCTCGCTCTGTCGCCCAGGCTGGAGTGAGTGCAGTGGCCGGATCTCAGCTCCCTGCAAGCTCCGCCTCCCGGGTTTACGCCATGCTCCTGCCTCAGCCTCCCGAGTAGCTGGGACTACAGGCGCCTGCCACCTCACCCGGCTAGTTTTTTGTATTTTTTTAGTAGAGATGGGGTTTCACTGTGTTAGCCAGGATGGTCTCGATCTCCTGACCTCGTGATCCGCCCGTCTCGGCCTCCCAAAGTGCTGGGATTACAGGCGTGAGCCACCGCTCCCGGCCTTTTTTTCCTTTTTGAGACAGAGTCTTGCTCTGTGCCCCAGGCTGGAGTGCAGTGGTGTGATCTCGGCTCACTGCAATCTCCGCCAACTGGGTTCAGGCGATTCTTGTGCCTCAGCCTCTGCAGTAGCTGAGATTACAGGCGTCTACCACCACACCCACCTAATTTTTGTATTGTTAGTAAAGACGGGGTTTCACCATGTTGGCCAGGCTTGTCTTGAACTCCTGGCCTCAAGTGATCATCTGCCTTGGCCTCGCAAAATGCTGGGATTACAGGCGTGAGCCACTGTGCCTGGCTCCCTGTTGCTCCTTCCAAGCTATCCTGTACTGTGTGGCCAGAGTGACCTTTCAGAAGCCCAGATCTGACTTTGGGCTCCCACTGCGTCCTGGGTAGCAGCTGCACTTCTTGGCTTTGACCTATAGACTGTCCTGTGATCTCGTCCCTGCAGACCTCTCTCTCTAGGCTTACATTTCTCCAGCCCCCAGGCTTTCCTTTACTCATGTTGCTCTACCTGGAGGGTACTGTTCTTGGCAATATCTACATCTTGAAATCCAAGACAGGAGATGAGATGCCACCTTCTCCACAAGCCTTTTTGGTACGCCAGGAAGAAGTAACCCTTCTGGGCCTTTGATGCCTTTCTTTTGTATCTCCTGTGAGCTTTCTGTTTATAACTTAGCATTTGTTTTTTATTTTTTAGTTCCTGGGGCTTAGCCAGGAAAGTCTGTTCCAACTCAAACTTGTGAAGATCTGGAGAGCATGGTGCTAAAATGGGGTTGGATTTAGAGATAAGATTGAGTAAACATTTATCCAAGGCAAGATACGGCAGGAGCTGCTAAGCATTTGAGTTGATAACAAGTACTAATAACCAATAGTTGGTTGAAGGAATAACAGATGCTAAATCAGCACTTGCCGACTGGATAGGTGGATGGGGAAGGGAGGGATGTTCAGTAAGTGGTTTATTGGGTGAGCGACATGGTGGACACTCTGACCAGTCCTCTCTTCTATCTACCCTAACTGCCCTGCAGTTTGACAACTTTAAGCGAGTCTTCAAGGTGGTAGAGGAAATGCGGGGCTCCCTGGTGGACAATATTCAGCAACACTTTCTCCTCTCTGACCGGTTGGCCAGGTGAGGAGCTAGCCACCTCCCCATCCTGCACACTACTTCCCTGGGCCCTGAGGCTTGTCCACCTTCCCTACCCCAACCATTCTGACCTCCTTAGTATGCTGGGGGAGTGATTATCCCACTTTTGGTCTGTACTTTTTTTTTTTTTTTGAGACGGAGTTTCACTCTTGTTGCCCAGGCTGGAATACAATGGTGCAATCTCGGCTCACTGCAACCTCTGCCTCCCGGTTCAAGCAATTCTCCTGCCTCAGCCTCCCGAGTAGCTGGGATTACAGGCTTGAGCCACCGCACCCAACTTGGTCTGTACTTTGGACCAGACTGTCCTGGATGCAAAGCACAGTCCAGCGATTTCCAGTTGGGCTGTTGAGAGATGCCATATGTAAAGCCATGGCACAGCCCTGGCACTTAGGAAGTGCTCAGTAAATAGTAACTGTTACCCTTATGGTCTCCCACTGTATGCACTAGGAAACTTGGGCTGGAACCTTCTCTTCGCACAGATGGGGAAAGGGCGTAGAGAAGTGACTTGAGACATGTCACACAGCAACTTGAGGCGGAGAGAGGCCAGAACTCGGACACCCAGCTGAGGTTGCAGCTGCTTCCTAAGAAGGAATTTCTTTTTTTTTTTTTTTTTTTTTTTTTTTTTTGAGAAGGAGTCTGGCTCTGTCACCCGGGCTGGAGTGCAGTGGCCAGATCTCAGCTCACTGCAAGCTCTGCCTTCCGGATTTACGCCATTCTCCTGCCTCAGCCTCCCGAGTAGCTGGGAACACAGACGCCCGCCACCTCGCCCGGCTAGTTTTTTGTATTTTTTAGTAGAGACGGGGTTTCACCGTGTTAGCCAGGATGGTCTCGATCTCCTGACCTCGTTATCCGCCCGCCTCGGCCTCCCAAAGTGCTGGGATTACAGGCGTGAGCCACCGCGCCCGGCCTAAGAAGGAATTTCAAGCCCTGAGGACCCTCCTCTCTTCTGTGCAGGGACTATGCAGCCATCGTCTTCTTTGCTAACAACCGCTTTGAGACAGGGAAGAAAAAACTGCAGTATCTGAGCTTCGGTGACTTTGCCTTCTGCGCTGAGCTCATGATCCAAAACTGGACCCTTGGAGCCGTCGGTGAGGCCCCCATTGACCTAGGTGCCTGGATGTCTCCCCATCCTCAGGACCTGATTCCCCACCAGTAGTTTCTCCCACAGGCCCCCAGTTCCCAGCATTCGCTCCTGTTCGCGGCCCACACCCAGGCTACCCTGCCCATAGAATGTTTTCCCACACACAGCTTGTCTGCAGACAGAGGGCCTATTGCCTCTCTGTGGCCCGGGGCATGTCACTGCATCTCTCTGACACTCCATTTCCTCTTCTGTCCCTAGGGGGGAAATGAAGTATTGGGTGAGGAAAGGCTTAGGCTATCCCAGAAGGGGATTTTATCACCCACCGCAACCCCCTTCATGGCCTCATAGACTCGCAGATGGATGACATGGACATGGACTTAGACAAGGAATTTCTCCAGGACTTGAAGGAACTCAAGGTGCTAGTGGCTGACAAGGACCTTCTGGACCTGCATAAGAGGTGACCTTGTAGGGGGCCATGGGGCAGGGCCTGCAGTAGGGGCCCAGGTGGCTATAGGTATGACCCTGTCTCTGCAGCCTGGTGTGCACTGCTCTCCGGGGAAAGCTGGGCGTCTTCTCTGAGATGGAAGCTAACTTCAAGGTCTGTGGTCCCATCCAGCCTCTGGCCTTTGGCATCGTCAGCCTCCAGTTCGCCACCTGTACTGGGCAGCTCTGCCCCTCCCAGAGACTGGCCGGCAGGTGGCGCTGCTGCTCCCTCTGGTGGCTGCTGACGGTGGCCGCTGATGGAAGCAGCTCATAAACAATGGGGACTTGGTTGATGGAGGGAGGTGGATGGATCTGGGGAGGGACCTACTCCTCCCCCAGCTTCTGTGCTCAGCTCCCAACTTCTGGGGCAGAAAGCAGAACTCCAAAGATCCCTGCCCCACAGAACCTGTCCCGGGGGCTGGTGAACGTGGCCGCCAAGCTGACTCACAATAAAGATGTCAGAGACCTGTTTGTGGACCTCGTGGAGAAGGTGAGCTGTCGCGCCCTCTGACACCCAACCTGGCCTGTTCCCGGCCTAGACGAGTGCTAAGTATTCTCTTGGGCCCACAGTTTGTGGAACCCTGCCGCTCCGACCACTGGCCACTCAGCGACGTGCGGTTCTTCCTGAATCAGTATTCAGCGTCTGTCCACTCCCTCGATGGCTTCCGGTGAGCAGTCCTGTCCTCCTGTCTAGCTTGGCCTTGCCCCAGCCTGCCACCTGCCAGGACCTCACCTCCCGCAGACTCAAGGTTCCTCATTCTACTACCCTGGGGGTAGGACCAAAGCTCTGGCTCCCCCTCTTAGAAGCTGTGTGATTTGGGGCAGGTTTCTTAACCTCTCCATGCCTCAGTTTCCTCATATACAAACTGGGGTTCATCATGAGAAGAACTGTAAGAATTTTCTAAGGGCAAAATGAATGAAGGTGTAGAAAGCACTCAGGGCAGGGCCTCCACCATGGTGAGTGTTGTGAAAACTCAGCTGTCACTGTTCATGTTCTTACAGACACCAGGCCCTCTGGGACCGCTACATGGGCACCCTCCGCGGCTGCCTCCTGCGCCTCTATCATGACTGAGGCCCCTCCCAATGTCCCGCCCACACTGACAATAAAGTTGCCCTGAGTTTGGAGACTGGTCCTCGCTCCGGGGAGCAGGTGGGGGACGTGCAGATGTGCCTGTGTCTGTCTCTGAGCACCTGGTGTCCGTGTACAAGGATGGACATTTACAGTGGCCTCTTGGGAACTGGGACATATCTCAGGGAATGGTGACTGTGCTCCGCCCATCCACCAGAAGAGTCCACTCACAAGCCAGACGTCTTGTCTTGGTTTATTCAGGCTGTATTGAGATTGGGAAGATGAGCAAAAACCTGGGGGTAGGGCTGGCGAGGAGGCAGCTGGCCTAACAGGACAGAGCTGAGGGGGCCAGGTGGGTTCAGGGAGGGCAGGAGACTCGGGGCTTCACATCCGGTTTCTGCACACGGGCAGTGAGCGGGAACCTGGTGATGCCGCAGGTATTGCTGCCTCGGTGTAGCCGGAAGTAGCCCTAGGAGGTTAGGGGACACGGGTGGGAAGGTGGGAAGAGGCCTGTTCTGCCTGGCCCCTCCCCCAATAGATCACACTCACCTTCTCTCCCCACTGGGCCCCCCAGGAGTTCTTCAGGATCCAGTATGGGGTGGGGTGTGGAGGCTGAGGCTGAGACTGCGATGAGACTGTCTCTGCCCATATCCCCTCTGACTTGAGGCTGCCAAAACCCACCAGCAGGACAGAGTGGTCCACAAGCTGGGGGTCACAGGTGGTGGGTGTGGCCTTGATCACACCTTTCCGGTATAGCTGCAGGGGGTGGGGGCCGAGGGGCTGAGTGTAGGGCCAAGTCCCCTGTATTCCCCTCCCCCGCCAGCTCTCCCATCCCACCTGCAGGGGCTTCATGTTGATGGTCACGGTGATGGGGCCGTAAGTGGCCAGGTACTGGGCAATTCCTGGGGACGGGAGCATCATCAGACCCTTGGCATGTGGGAGTGTCGGTTTCTCTCTCGCTCCTTCGCTCCTCCCACCCCCTCTTGTCTTCTAGCCCAGTCACCCAGTGTGTCTGCCTCTGCCCCGGTGTCTGTCCCTGCCGTCCGCCCATGTCCCTGCCCTGCCCGCACTGTGCTCGCTGTTCTGCAGCATGATGAAGTCCTGGATCCAGGCCACCTTGTGGTACTTCTTGGCGTGGCACCCTTGGGCTCTGACTTTGCCCTGGAACGGGTAGTCCTTTTCACTGGCCAGGCCGCCTGCAGATAAGCAAGACAAGGGAGGAGGCTCCGCTCCTGCCCACCCTGTCCCCCTGCAGATGCACAGAGTGGCGGGGCAGTGCACTCACTGTTGTTGAGAACAGTTATGAACGCGTCCCAGACGAAGCCACCACGGCAGCCATCCCCACAGCGACCACAGTCCAGCAGTTCTGGTGCAAGAAGGGACAGTGTGGGTGACCAGGCCCCTAGGCCTCCCTCCCCTGTCACACCTGCACCCTCTGTCAGCCCTACCCTGCACGGAGACATCCACGAAATCCCAGAAATTGATGCGCCACAGGGCCTCTATGTTGCCTGCCGCTGCCATGGCCCAGCAGCAGTTGCAGTTTTTCTGGAGGGCGAGAGGGTGAGGAGGGGCCAGGTGTTCGGGCCAGGCCCCTCTCCTTCCCACCACTTAGCTGAATTAGAGCGAGCTGGGTAGGGGCAGATACCTGGTCCTTGATGGGTGAGATGGCACCGGCCACCTTCCGCCAGTCACAGGTGAAAGGCACTGACTCCTGTGGCTCTTCGGACCCTATCTCTCTGCCCATGCCGGGGACCCTTCCAGCTGCCCTCCGATACCCGTAGAGCTGGCCAAACTCCTCCTCTGGGGAACAGACAGGGCCACTGAGGTCTCTGTTTTGACCCCTTCTCCCTGTTCTGCCTCTCCCACTCCAGCCGTTGGTCCCATAATGCCCTGAGGGGCAAAAAGGCAAGGATAGGCCGGGTGTGGTGGCTCACGCCTATAATCCCAGCACTTTGGGAGGCCAAGGCAGATGGATCACTTGAGGTCAGGAGTCCAAGACCCCATCTCCACAAAAAGTAGAAAAATTAGCTGGGTGTGGTTGTGCGGGCTTATAGTCCCAGCTACTTAGAAGGCTGAGAGGTTGGGGGAATTGCTTGAGTCTAGGAGGTAGAGGCTGAGTGAGCTGCTGTGATTGCACCATTGTGCTGCAGCCTGGACAACAGAGCAAGACCCTGTCTCAAAAAGGCAGGGATGCTGAGCCTAGAGAGGCTGGACTCCCTGCTGGGTGCTTCCGTGTAGCTGCTGTGCTGGCCCCTAGGCTGGGCTAGGACACAGGGCTACAGAGATTCTGCCCCTGCACTGGGTGATTTGATACCAGCACCCAAGCCCCTGGTCCTCGGGGAAATGAATTTCCTTCCCTGGGAAGTGAAAATTGAAGGTCCACTGGGTCCAGCTGCCAGTGTCCCTGGGGAGACCGCTTCCCCAACCACCACCTACAGGCCAGAAGGGTTAATGGTACCTGTGAGGTCACTGAATGGAGTCACCCCAAACTCAGCTGTGCCCAAGTCCTCCTCCTGCAGCCGCTGAGCCTGGGCCAGGTTGTGGGCAAAGATGTCCAGGCGGTGAGCATGCTCTGGACCAAGAGGGAGTTGTCCTAGGCTGACTCCCAAACCCTCAGGGGCAGGAAGTAGCCACTGGCTGGGCACCCTTCCACCCACACCCACCCAGTTGAGCACTGGCTCCTTTCGTGTAGCTCCTACAAGGCCCCACTGCAGATACCCAGGCCCAGGAAGTGGTTACCCAGCCCACCTAGGGTTGGGTTTTCCCCAGAGGCAGCGAGAGGACCATCTCTGGCCACCCTGGGTAGGAAGCCAGGTAAGGGGTCTGATGGTGGTGACTCAAGGAAAGGATGTGCGGCCAGAGACCAGCTTCCTGCCAGGCCACCACCTTTACACCTCTGACCACAGGAGGAGAGCTGGAACATGACGGGGAGAGGAGACGATGGCACGGGCAGCCTGGGCTAAAAGGCACACGCAGACCAGCCCCCTAGAAAGATCAGTACAGCGAGAGGGCAGGGGCAGGGGTTAGATCATGGGCTAGAGAAGAAGTCCCCAACGTGGGGACAAAATGGGTGTCCTTGGGTGTTTGCTGAATGAACGAATGACTAGGTGGTGGCCCCCTGCCCACTGCCTGGAATCACAGGGAAGTGACTGCGGAGCCAGGGGATCACGTAGGACTAGGGCAGGACCTCACCCGCTGCCACTGCCCTCCAGATCCATAGCAAAGAATGATCCTGGACCCACTCATGCTTTCAGGAAACCAGGGAGCACATGCCCAGCCCTGCCCTGTCCTGCTGAGTGACCTTGGCCATGCCTGTTCCCCACCCTGAGCTTCAAGTTTTTCATCTATTACAAAGTGGGATGGCTGGGCTCGGTGGCTCACACCTGTAATCCCAGTCCTTTGGGAGGCTGAGGCAGGTGGATCACCTGAGGTCAGGAGTTCAAGACCAGCCTGGCCAACATGGTAAAACCCTGTCTCTACTAAAAATATAAAAGTCAAGTGTGGTGGTACATGCCTGTAATCCCAGCTACTTAGAGGCTGAAGCAGGAGAATCGCTTGAACCCAGGAGGTGGAGGTTGCAGTGAGCCAAGATGAGGCCATTGCACTCCACGTCTCAAAAAAAACGTGGGGGCCGGGCGCGGTGGCTCAAGCCTGTAATCCCAGCACTTTGGGAGGCCGAGATGGGCGGATCACGAGGTCAGGAGATCGAGACCATCCTGGCTAACACAGTGAAACCCCGTCTCTACTAAAAATACAAAAACTTAGCCGGGCGAGGTGGCGGGCGCCTGTAGTCCCAGCTACTCGGGAGGCTGAGGCAGGAGAATGGTGTGAACCCGGGAGGTGGAGCTTGCAGTGAGCTGAGATCCGGCCACTGCACTCCAGCCTGGGTGACAGAGCGAGACTCCGTCTCAAAAAAAAAAAAAAACAAAAAAAAAAAAACAAAAAAAAAAACATGGGGGCTTGGAGTGGAGATGTATGTGCCCTGTGATACCTTCTGGGCTCAAGTAACTCCGGTTGAACTGGATCTGGAACAGCTTGAAGGCCTCTTTCAGCTCCAGCGGCTGGGGACTGAGGTCCTGGCAAGGAACCAAGGGTAGAGAGGGGCAGTGGGCAGAGGAATCATTGCTGGGGCCCCACCTTAGCTCCTAGCCGTGCAAGGACTGGGCTAGGGGTCAGCCAGTTAGCCTTCTCTGTCTTCCCATGTGCCCTTGGGCACGTCAGCCCCCTCTCCAACCTCAGTGACTCCCTCTGAAAAATGACAATGACAGGCCAGCTGTTTCTGAAGGGGTGACCCCAGGTGTGGGACTGGCAGTTGTAAGGTTTTGGGAGCACTTACCTGGGCCCTAAGGGAGCCTCTGATGCCTTGGGCTAGGCCTGCCACCAACAGGGCCAGGAGGCAGGAGGGGTGGGTAGTCAGTGCCATGCTGGTGCAGTCTGGAGAGGCATGGAGGCAGGAAGCCGTGCAGATCGAGGAGGAGGGTGTGAGGGCGGGGCTGGAGAAACCACGAAGGGGAAGACAGGTTTGGTGGGTGAGGGGTGGACCCCTAGAACCCTCAACTTGCTCAGGCCTTCAGGCTTTCAGTCCTCTGCCTGTCTGCTCCCCAACCCACCCCTTTTTTCTTTCTTTTTTTTTCCTACCCAGGTTGGAGTGCGGTGGCACAATCTGGGCTCACTGCAACCTGCACCTCCCGGGTTCAAGCAATTCTCCTGCCTCAGCCTTCCAAGTAGCTGGGACTACAAGTGTGCACCACCACGCCCAGCAATTTTTTTGTATTTTCAGTAGATACAGGGTTTCACCATGTTGGTCAGGCTGGTCTCGAACTCCTGACCTCAGGTGATCCACCTGCCTCAGCCTCCCAAAGTGCTGGGATAACATGCATGAGCCACTGCACCTGGCCAAAGGAACCACTCTTGCTCCTACTATGAAGCTCAGTCACCTCAATGGCTGCCTCTTTCAAGAAGCCTTCCCTGCTTCCCCAACCTCTGGTAGAAGCTTTGCAGCCCCTTCAGCCCAGCTGCACCTGTGCCCATTGGGCATCTGCCTCCAGCCACACCAGAAGGGTTCGGTTTGCTTGTGTCCCCGGTGCCCAGGATAGGGCTAGGCATGGGGCAGGCTCGCTAGGTGTTTGCTGACTGAACAGTTGATCATCATAAGTTGTAAACAAGAAAGCAGGCTGGGCACAATGGCTCATGCCTGTAATCCCATCACTTTGGGAGGCCAAGGTAAGAGAATCGTTTGAGCTCAGGAGTTGGAGACAAACCTGGGCAACTGAGCAAGACTTCATCTCTACTAAAAAAATAATTTAAAAAAGTTAGCCAAGCATGGTGGTGCTCTCCTGTAGTCCCAGCTACTGGGGAGGCTGAGGCCAGTGGGATTGCTTGAGCCTGGAAGATTAAGGCTGCAGTGAGCTATGATCATGCCACTGCACTCCAGCCTGGGTCCAAGATCCTGTGTCAAAAAAACAAAACCAGGCCAGGCGCGGTGGCTCACACTTGTAATCCCAGCACTTTGGGAGGCCGAGGCGGGTGGATCACCTGAGGTCAGGAGTTCAAGACCAGCCTGGCCAACATGGTGAAACCCTGTTTCTACTAAAAATACAAAAAAGTAGGTGGGCGTGGTGGCGGGTATCTATAATCCCAGTTACTCGGGAGGCTGAGGCACGAGAATGACTTGAACCCGGGAGGTGGAGGTTGCAGTGAGCCGAGATCGCGCCATTGCACTCCAGCCTGGGCAACAAGAGTGAAACTCCATGTCAACAAAACAAAACAGGAAAGTGCAGAGTCAGAGTCCAGGAGCAGCCATTGCTGCTAGTGCCTCCCGTTCCTCATCCCTCCCATGGTCTAGAGATGAGGATGAGGGGGCTGAAGAGCCAGAAGGATAACTGTGAGCATCACAGACAGAGGGAGGCCAAAACTTAACTTGTGAGGTCAAGGGCTGGGCAGCAGTATTAACACCCATTACTGCTGTCTTTGTTCTAAGTGGGTCCTTGGGCTGGAGACCTCCCTTCTAGGAGTTCAGGCTGAGAACTGGTGACCAAGACCAGAGAAGGGTGTGAAGAGCTGGCTCTCTAGGGTTCCATGGGGCGGGAGACAGGACAGCTGTAATCCTGGGATTTATTCACTTACATGCTCACTACTGCATTTCTTTATTAGGATTCCTCCCAGAGTCGTGAGGCCACACTTTGTCGCCCTGCCCAGAGAGTAAGCCAAGGGGCTTCTCTATTTGAAAAGCATGCTGCTGCCTTTATTGAAATGCCGTGGACAGACCATCCCCAGAGTGGTGCCTGGCCCTGTGGTTCTAGAGCCCAGTTACGGGCCCCAGCCAGGCTTGTCCTGTTGTATGACTGATGGCTAAGGCTCCATGTCAGCCCTCAGAGGTGGAGGTCCCAATGTGGGTCTGTTGTGATGGTAGGATGTGGGAGGCCACGGGGAGGAGGGACTGGAGGTGTGGGGCCCAGTGGCCTTCCTCTTTGATCCTCTTTCCTTCCCTTGCATGACAGCTCCCAAGGCCAGGAGGTTTGGGTCTGTTTTTAGTCAGTGCTGTGTCCCTGGTGCCCGGCACCACAGCATCTGCTTTACAGTGGCCAGTCAGTAAACATTTTTTGTTTTGTTTTGTTCTTTTGAGACGCAGTCTCACTCTGTCGCCCAGGCTGGAGTGCAGTGTCACGATCTCGGCTCACTGCAACCTCCGCCTCTCGGGTTCCAGCGATTATCCTGCCTCAGCCTCCCAAGTAACTGGGACTACAGGTGTGCGCCACCACACTCAGGTAATTTTTTTGTATTTTTTGTAGAGACAGGGTTTCACCATGTTGGTCAGGCTGGTCTCAAACTCCTGACCTCAAGCAATCCACCTGTCTCAGCCTCCCAAAGTACTGAGATGACAGGCATGAGCCACTGCGCCCAGCCGAGTAAACTTGTTGAGTGGATCAGTGAACTTCCTCCACACACTCACTCATTTGTCCATTCACCTGCCGACCCTGCAGATCCCTGCTGGCACCCAGTAAGGGGTGGGCCACGGGCACAGGGGCCTCACTGCCTGAGAGGAGCTCACTACTTGGTCAGAGAGAGACACTGATCCAATGGTGTCTGGGACCTTGAAAGGGACCCAGTGCAGAGCAGGCCAAGGCAGGGAAAGTCACTGAGGGTGCAGAGGACCGGGGAGGCATTCTGAGGAGGCAACTCCAAGTGGGAGGCTCACTCAGGCTGGATAGTGCAAAGATGGAGGTTCAGGTTCAGGTTGTGCACCAGCCGTGCACTAAGTCATCCCCCCGGGCCTCATGTCTTCATCTCTAATTGGCAATGACAATTCTCAGGCTGAGGCTTGAGTGGAATGATACTTAGTGGAGCGCCCAACACTGTGGCACAGAGTGAGTGTTCGCAGGGCGGGTGCTTCATGCTCTAATATGGGGCAAGGAGTTCAGCGGGTCTTGAAGTCCATGGGACATGAGTGCAAGTCCCATCCTTCACCTGGGACAAGTCTCTCAGCCTCCCTATCTGTGAAACGGGGTGATAGCAGCACCCCTTTCCTGCCTTTTTTTAATATTTCCTTTTTTTGAGACAGGGTCTTGCTCTGTCGCCCAGGCTGGAGTGCAGTGGCACGATCTCGGCTTACTGCAACCTCCACCTCTCAGGTTCAGGTGATTCTCCTGCCCCAGCCTCCTGAGTAGCTTACAGGTGTTCACCACCATAGCCAGCTAATTTTTGTCGTTTTAGTAGAGTTGGAGTTTTGTCATGTTGGCCAGGCTGGTCTGGAATTCCTGACCTCAGGTGATCCATCCACCTTGGCCTCCTAAAGTGCTGGGATTACAGGCATGAGCCACCATGCCCGGCCTATTGTGGTATTATTATTATTATTATTATTATTATTTTTTTTTTTTTGAGACGGAGTCTGGTGCTGTGGCCCAGGCTGGAGTGCAGTGGCCGGATCTCAGCTCACTGCAAGCTCTACCTCCCGGGTTTGCGCCATTCTTCTGCCTCAGCCTCCCGAGTAGCTGGGACTACAGGCGCCCGCCACCTCGCCTGGCTATTTTTTTGTATTTTTTTTAGTAGAGACGGGGTTTCACTGTGTTAGCCAGGATGGTCTCGATCTCCTGACCTCGTGATCCACCCGTCTCGGCCTCCCAAAGTGCTGGGATTACAGGCTTGAGCCACCGCGCCCGGCCCTATTGTGGTATTATTACAGACTATAAACTTCACTTTTTTTTTTTTTTTTTTTTTGAGACGGAGTCTCGCTCTGTCGCCCAGGCTGGAGTGCAGTGGAGTGATATCGGCTCACTGCAAGCTCTGCCTACCAGGTTCACGCCATTCTACTGCCTCGGCCTCCCAAGTAGCTGGGATTACAGGTGCCCACCACCATGCCTGGCTAATTTTTTTGTAGAGATGGGGTTTCACCGTGTTAGCCAGGATGGTCTTGATCTCCTAACCTCGTGATCTACCCGCCTCGGCCTCCTAAAGAAACTTCACTTTTTTGAAGTGTACAATTCAGTGGGTTTTAGTATGTTTGCATAGTTATGTGACCATCACTACTATCTAGTTTTAGAATATTTTCATTATCCCAAAGAAAACCCAGACCCATTAGCAGTCACTCCCCATTCCCCACCTTCCTCTGGCAACCATTAATCTACTTTCTGTTTTTCTGGGTTTGCCTATTCTGGTTATTTCATATAAATGTAATATGTGTGCTGGGCACGGTGGCTCACGCCTATAATCCAAGCACTGTAGGAGGTCGAGGTGAGTGGATCACCTGAGATCTGGAGTTTGAGACCAGCCTAACCAATATGGTGAAACCCCGTGTCTACTAAAAACACAAAATTAGCTGGGCGTGGTGGCAGGCGCCTGTAATCCCAGCCACTCGGGAGCCTGAGGCAGGAGAATTGCTTGAACCCGGCAGGCAGAGATTGTGGTGACCCGAGATCATGCCATTGCACTCCAGCCTGAGCAACAAGAGCAAAACTCCACCTAAAAAAAATAAAAAATAAATAGAATATGTGGCTTTTTGTGTCTGGCTTCTTTCACTTCACATAATATTTTCAAGAACTCACCTATATTGTGGCATGCATCCGCACTTCATTCCTTTTTATGGCTGAATAATGTTCCACTGTATAGATGTACTGCATCGTGTTATTCATCAGTTGACAGATTTTGTGTTGTTTCTGCATTTGGCTCATATATAATGCAGCTATAAATGCTGTGTACAGATTTGTGTGTGTGTACATATCTTTTCAATTATCCTAGGTTTGTGTCCCTAGGAATGAAATCGCCAGGTCATGTGATAACATTTTGAGGAACTGCCAAACCATTTTCCATCAACAGTGCATGAGGGCTCCAGTTTCTCCATATCTTTGCCAACACTTGTTATTGTCTTTCTTGTTTTAAAGAGCTATTATTTTTTTTTTTTTTTTGAGACGGAGTCTTGCTGTGTCACCCAGGCTGGAGTGCAATGGCCAGATCTCGGCTCACTGCAAGCTCCGCCTCCCGGGTTCACGCCATTCTCCTGCCTCAGCCTCCCGGGTAGCTGGGACTACAGGCACCCGCCACCTCGCCTGGCTAGTTTTTTTTTTGTATTTTTTATTAGAGACGGGGTTTCACCGTGTTAGCCAGGATGGTCTCGATCTCCTGACCTCGTGAT